TAGTTTATTCATGTATTTTCCCCCCTACCATTTCTGGGCTGTGGCTGTTAAATATGTTACTTATGTTTATTATCAGTATTAATTTTTAATTAAATTTGTGAATAATATTTATATTAAAAACAATTCCTTATCCTATTCTTACTTTCTGACATTTTGTCTGAGGGATGCTGCAGCTATTATCTGTTTACAATTTATGCACACTGCTTCATTTAAAATATTTTGCCGTCCCTCCCTTTAGTGTCCTAAAGATAATTATATTGTTTAGGTTGTAAAGTCAACTAGTAAACTATTGTATAAGTCCAGATAGAGAAAACTATATGGTGCTTTCAGAATGTTAGTAGAAGAAAGCACTTAATCCACTAAAAAGAAAAAAAAAAAAAAAAAAACTTGTGTATAATATTCTTAATATATGATCCATGCACCCTGGTGTAGCACCACTCAAATGCACACGAATTCTTAATTTATCACGTTTTATCATTAGAATTCATACCTAATGTGTTACCTAAAGAAGCTTTTAAGGAGGGCTTAATTTCTAAAATTGGAAGTACCCCAGAGCGCTGTGGTAGAGCATCAAGAAAGAGGAACAAGATTAAAAAAGTAAATAAAGTGACTAATAAATTAATAATTTTTAAAATTATTAATTAATAATTTTAAAAATTAGTAATGTATGAAATAAAGAGCAATTATGATCTAAAGGGTATCAAAATTTACAAAAAAAAAAGCTTAATATTTATTTGTTTACTTTATTAAACATTTCTTTCAACGTGCACATGTGTAAAGCCTACATTACGCATAGTCAAAATTAGAAAATTGCAACCAGAAAAATATTTGATGTGTATTCGTGATATTTATAATGATGAGAAATTTGATTTAAATCATATCAAAGAAGGAATACATCGAGATGAAATACTACATTTAGTAAGGAATTATAAGCCGAATAAAATAAAAACATCTGCCCTGAAGATAAGGATAGTGCTGACAGATCAACTTCCAGTTCATTACGCGCTGCAACGTTTCCCCTTCCCCCGCAGAGCAGCGTGAAATTGATAAACAGATTTCAGAATGGTTAGAGAAACAAAGGATATGCCATTATCCATTTTTTGCAGCAATTCCACTTTTTGTTTGATTGACATCAAAACAAGCTTTTGTTTTGTAGATCCTTTGGCAGTTCCAGAATCGGAAATTCTTTTTGACATAATCGAAAGTTCAAGCTTACTTTTATAAAATTGCTCTAACAGTCTGCAAAAAATAATAAGCCAGATCCAATTCGAAGATTAAGGAACAACGCAATCTGCAACATTAGCTGAACTAGATAATTAGATAATTTTAGCTTAGCTTATACCGTCCATTATACGTTAAATGCTCATGCGTAAACGTATTATGCTCAGAAAGTTTGTAGCTTTGAGGTCCGGACTAAAGACTTTTGACTGAATTAGTTTCAAAATGGCATTTTGTGTTGAATCACTTTTCAAATTGTTGCCCCCAAATATTATATGTAAAGAATCTACACTAATGTATGTAAGTTTCTCGCACTGTGAGAAAACAACGGTACCTGTAGTCATCCAATTCTGAATAACCTGTCCTGCACTCGAACATGTGTGCTTGGAAGCCCTAATTTAAATTTGGAATTTGTTTCAGCGGTTCTCAAACTTTTGACTAATGCATACCATCCAAACAAAACATTTTACAATGATTATTTTTCAGTTTCTCAATACAAATATTTATATATATACATATATACATATATATATATTTATATTGTTTCATAACAAAAATTGAATTTAATTAAATTAATTTAAATAAATTTAAATACAAATTTAATTAAATAATTTTTGCGCCATTGCTGCAAGGAATGAAATTTAAATTTAAACAAATTAAATTTAAATTTTAACAAACACTTATAAAAGTAAAAAAAGCAAATTTAAAGCCAAAAAAATTTTTAAAAAAAAATATATATATTTAAAAAAATGTGTAAACATATAAAAGATTTAATTTTCGAACTAATCTACAATATCATTTAAATTCAGAAGCATAAGCAAATCAAGTGCAAAACCAATCCATGAAAAATAAATTTAGTAATTTAGCAAATTAAAATTAATCCATACAATTTCTTTTTAAATGAATTTAAATGATATTGTAGATTAGTTCGAAAATTAAATCTTTTATATGTTTACAAATTTTTTTAAATATAATATATATATATATATATATATTTAAATTTTTTTGGCTTTAAATTTTTGCTTTTTTAATTTTGGCTTTAAATTTTCTTTTTTACTTTTATACGCGTTTGTTAAAATTTTAATTTAATTTGTTTAAATTTAAATTATATATATATATATATATATATATATATACATTTGCCATTTGAACAACCTATTGACTAATTATATTAAATATGCACACATAAAAAATATTAGATAAAAAATTCATTTTGATTACAAAAATTTATAATCATTTTGATCATAAAAATTTAAGTTATAATACTTTAATTCTAAAACTAAGTATGATATGTGGGCCTGTTTAAGAGAGATGAATTTCGTTATGTCTGGTCTATTTCGCTTAGCTTTAACCAGAAATTAGGATCCACTTTTAAGTTTTTTCCGTATTTATTTTTCAAATATAATATGGAAGGAAATTGTTGTTCATGCAAATAGGTTGTGCAAAAAGGCAATAAAAATTTAACTTTATTTGAAATGCCTTTAAATTCTCTTTTTCGGTTCAGCCAAAAGTTAGCAAGTGTGTTATTTTGAAATTTTCAGTTAGAGTTAGATCACAGGAAATTTCTATCAATTGTTCTTTTTCTTCGGGAGATTTTTGAATTTAATAGACAAAAATACTTTGTTTCTTTGCATACCACCTACTTTTCTCTTGCGTACCACCGGTTGAGAATCACTGGTCTACTTCATATTTTATAAAACTTTAACAAAGTTTTCATTTAAAAAACTCAACAATTTCAAAGCCAGCAGAGGCAACACTGTAATAAAACATTTTTATCTCTAGCCTGAGAAATTGTCTATCAGAAATTCTAAAGGTATGCTGTTTTTAAATAATTTTAGCACAATGTGATGTTAGCTCAAATGCTCTTGAAATGTGTTTGTGTCTATAAATTAATGAAAAGATCGTTTGGAAGTAATATAAAAACTGAAAACTTTCAAATTTTTTGTAGTACTAAAAATAAAATTTTTGAACTTAAATTTCTAATGAAATTTGTGTTCAATAACATAAAAGAAGTGCCGGAGCATTCTTATTTAGAGTTCCCGAGTAGAATTATGATTTAGCCCCAAAACTAACAAGTGCTGGAGCCATGCAATTTAAGCTCTGCTTTTAATATAAAATGTTTGTATATCTTTTCAAATTTCTCTCTTCTTGAATTTTTAGAAATAAGACATAAAATTTATGGTATAAGAATAAATAAATTACACATTTTAACCCTTATAAATTTTTCTTAAAAATTTCATTTCATAATTATTCGAAAAATATATGAAGTTTTTAGGGCTTGCTGAAAGTCTATACCTTCTGTCTAGCAACTTTCTCTCATAAATAAGTTTCCCAAAATTTCATTTGTTTTCTGCATATTAAATTAAAGAAATAAACGCATGCATTAAATCTTGGAATTGTATCTTCTTGAGCTACAGTTCATATGGATGGAAAGTGCATATAGTAGACGTAATTTGCCAATTCTTAGCTGTGTGCATGTCATAGTTGATTTATGCATGGTTGTTGGCTATGGTATTTAAAAAAAACTGAAATGTTTCAGATTTTAAATTACGTCCAAAGGACGTTTTATTAACGTTTTGTGTGTTACTTTTATTTATTAAATATCATGTTCTACGTACTAAAACTATAAAATTCATTTCAACAGCAATATCGCAAATTAATTTTAAAATGAACATATCTTAAGAATTTCCGAAAAAAAGTCTCACGCGCTGGAGATGAAAATGCAATTTTTTCGTACAGTGTTGCCATTGCTTGCTTTGAAATCATTAGTTATTTAATCAAAAATTCATTGAAGTGTTACAAAATATGAAATAGAAAATAAAACAAATTTCAAATGATTGCTTCCACATGCCCATATTATATTGAAGATTACGTAATTCAAATTTTGATGGCTCTAGGTACCATTGTTTTATCATAATGGGAGAAACATACATACATTTATGCAAATTCTTCATTATTTAATTTCTTTAAGACAGGACGATAATAATGGTGACAATGATTTGAAAAGTGATACAGCTTTTTAAAGTTTTCGACGCAAAATGCCAAAACGAAATTAATAGTTGTTCTTCAGGGCAAACTGCCCCTTTGGACTATGAAAAAAAAAAAAAAAAAAAAGAAGAAAAAAAAAAAAAAGCCTATAATACCTGTTAAAAATTATGCATTTTTAGAAGCAAATCTTTTTGAATTTTTCCTGTAATTGTACCTCATTTTTAACTCTGAGATTCGTCAACAGGGTGTAGTGAATTATAGTAACTTTATATTATTTATCGTATGAAAGTTTGTATTTACAAGTTTGTATTTAAAATAAATAATAGAAATTTATTAACAATATATAATATCAATTTGTAGAAATAGACGACACATGGAGTGTTTCTTTTTGTTTTATTTATTCGGTACCAAATACAGAACAGAAAAACGTAGTGCATTTTTACCAGTTTAATTTTTTTTTTTTTTTTTTTTTCCCTGCCAAGGAAATATTTTTAGCGGGTTATTCGATTTTACTACAACTGTATGTTCTTTGTAACTATAGTTTAATTTTTTATCTTTATTCATTTGAAATACGAAGAGTTAAAAATAATAATTTCTAGAAAGGGTGTAAAGAATTTAAGTTGTTCTAAGTAAATAAGAACAGTATTATAACGAATAACAATGCAGCCAAAAATTTAAACAAGGATTGATTTGTTACGTTACATTCCTATAGATGGCGTAGCTATACCGAACTTCTGTCTGAGTGGTAAAACAAACACGTGTTTCGTTCAAAGTTCAAATTATGATAGCGAAGTGATTGTATAGTATAGATATTCGTACTTTAAGTACAGTTAGTGTAAAAAGAATTTAGTAGGAGTTAAGAGTGAGAGAAATATCACGATAGCTAAAATGGTGCTTCGTTATTTTTTGATACCGGCCGTAAGTAATCGTAAGATTAAAGAACTGCAAAATAATTTAAATTTAAAATTCGATTCGAAGATAGAAAAAATTGAAACAGAATATTGTTTTTATGTAGAAACTGATCGAGCTCTGAATGCCAAAGAGAAATACAGACTGGAATGGATTTTGACTTCGTTTGATGGGGTACTGGCAGAAACAACACAGCTTCCTGAATTTCTGTGTTCTGATAAAAAACATTTTGTGCTGGAAATTGGGCCTAGATTGAATTTTTCCACTCCATTTTCCACAAATGCTGTATCTATATGTAAGTCGATTAACTTACCCGTTTCAAGGATTGAGCGATCTGTGAGATACTTATTTTACTTCAGTCAAGAATATGACGTCGATATCAATGCAAATATTGCCAAATCTATGCATGACAGAATGACGGAATGTGTTTATGATACTCCAATTCATAGTTTTGAAGTAAATGTCTCTCCAGAACCATGGGATGAAGTGGATATACTAGGTTATGGAAGACAAGCTTTAGGAGAAATTAGTCATAAATTAGGTTTAGCAATGGATGATTGGGATTTAAACTTCTACACTCAGTTATTCCGTAATGAACTTAAAAAAAATCCTACTACAGTTGAATGTTTTGATCTAGCTCAGTCAAACAGTGAACACAGTAGACACTGGTTTTTTAAGGGAAATCTAATTATAGATGGAGTGCCAATGAAAGAGAACTTATTTGAAATGATTATGAAGACTCAAAAACATTCACATCAAAATAATGTGATAAAATTTTCTGATAACAGTAGTGGAATTCGAGGTTTAATGTTAATGTATTTTCACCTGTGGATTCTGATCAGCCAAGTTACTTCAAAACTAAGTCAGCTGTGCAGCATATTATATTTACTGCTGAAACACACAATTTTCCTACTGGCGTTGCACCTTTTAGTGGTGCAGCAACTGGAACTGGAGGTCGTATACGAGATGTCCAGGCTGCTGGTCGAGGCTCACATGTAATAGCTGGAACTGCAGGATATTGCTTCGGAAACTTGAACATTCCTGGGTACGATTTACCTTGGGAAGATAAAACATTTGATTATCCATCAAATTTTGCTTTGCCTGTTGATATTGCTGTAGAGGCTAGTAATGGTGCTTCAGATTATGGAAATAAATTTGGTGAACCAATTATATCAGGTTTTGCAAGATCATTTGGCTTGAAGTTGCTAAATGGTGAAAGGAGAGAATGGATAAAACCAATTATGTTTACTGGTGGAATTGGTAGCATTAATGATAAATTAATCAAGAAGAAGGAACCAGAACTAGGAATGCTTGTTGTAAAAATAGGAGGACCTGTTTATAGAATTGGTTTGGGTGGGGGTGCAGCATCTTCAGTTCATGTTCAGGGTGATCAAAAAGAAGAGCTTGATTTTGGTGCTGTTCAGAGAGGTGATCCAGAAATGGAACAAAAATTGAATCGAGTAGTAAGAGCTTGCATTGAGCGTGGAGAAAGGAATATCATATGTAGCATTCATGATCAGGGTGCTGGTGGTAATGGTAACGTTCTTAAAGAAATTGTTGAAGGTGCTGGGGCTGTTATTTATGCTGAGGAATTTCAGTTAGGAGATCCAACTATCAGTGTTCTTGAACTCTGGGGTGCTGAGTATCAAGAAAGTAATGCTATACTAATTAATCCAAAAGACAAATCTGTACTTCAGAGCATTGGAGATAGGGAAAAGTGTCCTGTGAGTTTTGTAGGAGAAGTGACTGGAACTGGTGATATTGTACTTATAGAAAAAAGGAATCAAGAAGCCTCTCGACATCCTGTTGATTTAAAATTATCCTGTGTTCTTGGATCTGTACCTCCAAAAACATTCAATTTGAATCGACAGACTATGATTTTAAAGCCTTTAGAATTGCCTTCAGATTTAAATTTGCAGTTGGCACTTCATTATGTATTACGTCTTCCTTCTGTGGGTAGTAAAAGATATCTTACCAATAAAGTTGATCGAAGTGTTACAGGGTTAATTGCTCAGCAGCAGTGTGTTGGACCATTACATACACCTCTTGCTGATGTTGCTGTAGTTGCTGTATCATATCTTGATACTGTTGGTAGTGCTACATCTATTGGGGAACAGCCTATCAAAGGCCTTCTTAATCCATCAGCTGGAGCAAGAATGTCTGTAGCTGAAGCTTTAACAAACATAGTTTTTGCTAAAATAACGTCTCTTCAGGATATCAAATGTAGTGGAAATTGGATGTGGGCAGCTAAATTACCTGGAGAAGGTGCTGCTTTATATGATGCTTGTAAAGCTATGTGTTCTACTATGTCCAAAATTGGTGTTGCTATAGATGGTGGCAAGGATTCTTTAAGCATGGCAGCAAGGGTTAATGATGAAACTGTAAAAGCACCAGGGACATTAGTAATATCAGCATATGCTCCATGTCCAAATATCACACTAACTGTGACACCTGACTTGAAATGTCCAGATGGAAAAGGAACTCTAATATATGTGGATGTGTCCAGTGGGAAGTCCCGTCTTGGAGGAACTGCTTTAGCTCAGTGCTTGAATCAGCTTGGTGCTGATACACCAGACTTGGATAATCCTTTAGCTTTACGAGATTCATTTAATGCGATACAAGAACTGTTAAGTAAAAACAAAATAACTGCTGGTCATGATATTAGTGATGGTGGTTTTATTGTTTGTATTTTGGAAATGGCTTTTGCAGGAAATAGTGGTGTAAATATTAATCTGAAAAGTAATAAAAGTTTGTTTCCCTCAATGTTTAATGAAGAAGTTGGATGGATTCTTGAAGTTAAAGAATCAAATTTAAATTATGTCCTTAAAACTTTTGAGAACTTAGATGTGTCTTGTCAAAATATTGGATATAGCTTTGGACATGGAATAAGCGCTAAAATAATACTACAGCTGAATGAAGAAGTTGTTCTTGATATGCCAATGGTAGTTTTGAGGGATATCTGGGAAGAAACAAGTTTCCAGCTGGAGTTAAGGCAAACAAACCGTGAATGTGTGATGCAAGAAAAACAAGGATTATCAAAACGTACCAGTCCTGAGTATTGCATATCATTTGATATGTCTTCAATTAAACCTCATGTTACATTTCGATCGGGTCCACGTGTTGCTGTTATTCGAGAAGAAGGCATAAATGGAGATAGGGAAATGATAGATTCTCTGTTTATGGCAGGTTTTGAAGTATGGGATGTTACCATGACTGATTTGTTAACAAAAGGAGTATCATTATCTAAATTTCAGGGTGTTATTTTTCCTGGTGGATTTAGTTATGCTGATGTACTTGGTTCAGCTAGAGGTTGGGCTGCAGGTTTTCTTTTCCATCATGAATTGGAAACTCAGTTATTAGCATTTAGAAATCGACATGACACATTTAGTCTTGGTGTTTGCAATGGATGTCAACTCATGGGTCTTCTTGGCTGGATTGCTCCATATAAAAATGAGCAAGGTGATCAATGTCAAGGAGTTTCTCTTAGTCAAAATCTGTCAGAACGATTTGAGTCCCGTTTTGTGACTGTAAAAATTATTGAATCGCCATCTATCATGCTTAAGGACATGGAAAATTCTATTTTAGGTGTGTGGGTTGCTCATGGAGAAGGACGATTTGAATTTAAAAATTCACAAATTTTACAGGAAGTTCAGTCACAAAATTTAATGCCACTTTTATACGTTGATGACACAGGGTCACCAACTACTGAGTACCCATTTAATCCAAATGGCAGTATTGGAGGGATAGCATCCATATGTTCAATTGATGGAAGGCATCTTGCCATGATGCCACATCCAGAACGCTGTGTTTTACCATGGCAGTGGGCATGGATGCCAGAACATTTAAAATCAACCATGACTGTTTCACCATGGTTAAAAATGTTTACCAATGCGTATGACTGGTGTGTTCGTAACAGATGAAACACATGTGGAGAACTTATTCAAGTCATAAAATTTATTGATTTCAATTTATATATATATATAATATTCTATATCAAATCTCTATATGACATAAAAGTGTGATATTTTAAATGATTACTAGCACTGTAATGAGTTATTTTACTGGTAGAAAATTTGTTATTTTGTGAATAAATCACGTTCTTTATTTTGAGTAACTTATTTGATGGTAACAGAATTAATGATCCTCTAGTTAATATATCAATTAATCATATGTTGTAAATTATTTTCTTCTTTTTAGGAATATTTGTTAACAAATTGTGTAATAGTAATTTATTTTATTGCAGTACTTAAAAATGTCAAAACATTTGTATGAATGATAACTAAGAAAGTATATATTTTATTATTTTATTATGGTAGCTAATTAAGTTAGTTGGTTTTTATTCCTAATGAGAATTTTCCTCCCATGAGGTGTTACTTTTCACTTGGAAAGAAAACTAGATTCTACTGAAGTCACTGTTGTAATTTATCTGTTTAAGTTTCCAATGAAAAGTGCAAATGAGTAGTTTGGATGCAAATAATATGACTATGATAATAAAAAACTTCTGAGATTTATCTGTATTCATAATAAATTGGGTATTAAATATAAATTGCAAAATACATTTATTGACTTTTGTGTTACAGAAAACATTTTATGTCATAGAGCTTTATTTATTAACATAATCAGATTGCATACATTTTAAACATTTCATTTAAAAGATTTTAAAGTATAAATGCTGAAGTAATACCATGTTTAGACTACTGTGATATTTATATCATAATGTATGCTCAATTGTGAAATATATGCAGCTCAAAGATGGTAAGTTTTTTTTTTTTTTTTTTTTTTTTCATTTTGTTTGTTTATTTATATTATTTCAATTTTTCACACATAAATCATTTGAGGGCTAATTCTCTAAAAGATTTCCATTTTCAATAATTTTAAGATGAATTAATTTTACTTTTCAATTTTAATATGCATGCCTTAATTTTGTATGTTTATCGATTGCATTATTTTCTTTTTATCGATTTTCTTGTAAAAATGGATAAGTGGAGAATATAATGAAAGTTCCTTGGATTCTTTTGATCTTACAAATATATTTGTTGATGTAGATAATTAAAAGTATCGCCTATAAGATTAATTGTGAAATTTTCTCCTTTTAATTATAAACAGGTCAGTGTTATATGGTGGATTAATAAAATTTAATGTTTGCTTTTATAAAGAGAAAAAATCCATTTGAGGAGAACATGGTTATTTGCTATTTGGAATATCTGTAGTACTAACCAGTAATAAAAATTCTTTTTCACATTTTAAATTTGCTGCTATCTTAATTAAGATTCATATATAAGCATCACTATTAATTTAATTTGTTTCAATAATGAATAATTTGATTTGGAAATAGATGATACTAAATCATTTGGAATTGCTTACCTTTAAATCAAATTTTAAAACTTTAGAAAGTTCATATACTTATCAAAGATAAAAATTCGCTGGTTATGATTAAGCATCCTAATCTGTATGCAATCCAAATCGGGTGGATGAATTCATTGTGGGGAAGCAGCAAAAGGTTATACCTATTGGAATGTCTTAGATCTTGAACACCCCCAAGATGAGAGAAGGAGTTTGCCCAGCTCTCCATCTCAGTTTCGATTGAGAACAGTCTGGGTAGCTGAGCCAAGGGTCTCCTAGCACAGATGGACTTTCAGCTTGATGGTATTTTAATTACCCCATGCTGCAAACACACTATATTTATATAACATTATTCATTCATGTCTTCATATTTGAACCCAGGTCCAACAATATCAGTTACCCACATTGCTAATAACTATATTGATTAGATGACAGATAAAAATTGTAAATTTATTCATCAAAAAGTGTGCTGTCTTGAATAAAATTTTAATAGAAAAAGTCTGAATTTTTTATGTTACCTTTAAAAAAAAAGTAACTATTTGCAATGAGAGCCAGGCCAAGAAAAGAGCAACAGGGACATTTGTCTCAGATAAAAATTTGCAAAAGTTCAAGGACAAGTTTAAAATATTATACATTGAATATTAATGTGACGGTAATTAGAAAATGTAATTTTAAGGTGCATTAAAATCTATCTGTGCAACTTTCTTTTTCACAATCACTATCTTTAGGTGATATTTATAAGTGTGTCTGGAAACTAAATCAACAAATAAATAAGTTATCCTTCTTTATAAGATTGTTAGTGGACAACTAAACTCTCTTGTGAGGGGGGGGGGATCTGAAAGGTTTCAGATACTAACAGTCACCCAAAAAGAGATTTGTTAAGGTTTTTTAACTCTAACTGAGTTCACTTTCTACCAGCTTGCTGTTACACTCGCTCCTGTTAACCCCCCTTTTTTTGTGTATCTTTTAAGCTTTATTATTAAGAATAATTTTCTTTCCATTTATGTCACATGCAATTCACCAACAAAATTACGAAAATTTTGTTAGCAGTATACATTTAGAATTCCCAATGCAGCATTAAGTGTTGGCATATATTTTTCTTTCTTTTTTTGGGTTTTCATCCGCAGAGAACCCGTTGGCGCCGTTGCATTTTTACTCGCCAAGCTCGCGCTTCATCGGCGATGAGCCGAGCCGCAAACATGATTTTTAGTGCATGTAAATTCAAGTTGCGTATTTCCAAACCCTACCCCACTTTTCGAATTTTTGACGTCACGGAAATATCGACTAGTTTCACCTGGCAAGACGGCGTACCCCACTTTTGAGCTCTACGGCGCGTTTTCGAAAGAATTGTGGTGTTGATTAGTGAGATTTTCGCAATTTAAATTATTATGAGTGGAAATTTAAGCAAAATCTTTAGTGAATAGTTGTTTATCGCCGTAGTGTATTTGAAGGAAAGAGGAGAATAATTCACTGCCGACATTCACATACATTAACAGTATGAAAAACCTGGAAGGTGATACTCAGCAATAAATGTGATGCATTCATCGCAAAATTCAGCAACGCCAGTAAAAAAGAAAACGAGACTGTTCGAAAAAAACTTATTCAACATCCTGAAGTCACTATACAAAAAAATTGTATGTGTGCCAACACAGCATATTTTAATAAAAAATAATAATAATAATAATAATAAAACTTTAGATCAAGGAAAGAAAGAATTGCAGTGCCTCTGTGTGCTTAAAACTACGAAGCATTCTGCAGACTTTTATGCCAAAATCAAGGTTGACAAATCGATTAATATTTTAATGTTTCTTTCAGTGTATATATTCGAAAGTATTAAAATAACTTGGACAGTTGTTTAATTGCTTAAAACAGCAATAAAATTCATTTTATAAAGATACACAAGGAATTATAATAAAATATTTCATTGCTTTGGTGAAAAACTAAAATTACCTAACTTTTATAACATTAAGTATCTTCGTAACTGTAGTATTATGCTCTGTTTTATAACTTTATTCATTTGTTACATTAAAATATTTTCTGTTTTATTTACTAAATGTGTAATCAATTATCAGGATAACTAAATGTGTTAAGAATTCCATACATGCTGTGCAGTGGTGTTGTTATGAATTTGTTTTAATGTGATTTGTTTCACGAACGAATGTGTTGAAAGAAAGTTGTGTGTCTGTGCAATTTTGACGAATACTGAAATGTGTGTACAGTAAAAATTCAACTAAAAAATATTCGGAAAGCTCTTGAAATTTTGGATAGTGAGCATATAAAAAATGTATCTGTGATAATCAATGGAAGAATACTACTAGCACTATAAATCAAAAACAGTCGCTTCCGATTTATTTTCACTTCAAAAGTTATTTTTACATGCTGGTTTGTTATACTGCAAATTTTGTTTTTATGAACAAATTGACACTTTTGTAATTTAATGCAAGTTGAATTTTTTTACTAGAAGCAATTAAATAAAACCAACCACTTGTTATTAATTTTACCAAATTCTAAATTTAAATTTTTTATTACTTTCATCTATTTAATGTTTGCCATTATAAATTTCCATTTTTTAAGATTTCATTGTTTCCTTCCTTTAATTTTTTCCATTTTAAAAACGTACATTTATATATGTAAGAAAGGTAACAATATTACAGTAAATCATTTTATATTTAAAACAGTACTGAAAAATATATTGAAAAACAAAAAAAAAAACAATTCAACAAAATTAAGCTTATTAAGTAATTACATAGATATGTATAACATTTTTTAATAAAAATCAATGAACAAAAACATCCACAAGACTTAATGGAATTTAATACCAAAAATTTTCACGTTTTTGAAAAAAAACAAAACATTTGATTTGAGTTTTTGGGAAAATAATCTGATATTTTTTCTTTGCATTGTCTTTTTTAGCATCAAATTGTTCAATGTCGAACATTTTGCTATTCATTTCACCTTGGATTGGAATGTGTGTCTATATAATTGTCCATACTTTTTATGATGTTTCCTCATTTAAGATGATGTGGGAACAGGAACTGCATTATTCATTTTATTTTCGTCATCAGAATCTGCATCAATGATATTTTTTTACCTTTGAACAAACTCCTAAAATAACTTTGTCTGCCATAATTGGGGCTGTACACACATTATCGTAAACTACTGTAAACGAATTCTTCCGATAGACAGTAAGACAGTTCATTAATACAGAACTTTCTCAAACATTTCATTAAGTGTCAGCTCAGTTTCAATATCCTCTTCTCCATTTCTTTTGGCGCAAAGAAGAAACAATAATTTTGAGAATCGTGTGTAATGAAAATAATTTTCATTCATCCTTAGAATCGCTGAATTCCATGCAATGCATCATATGCACAAAACTCACTAATTTTTACTCACACTACTATGTACTCGTCACCAAATTCCAAAGCTAACTGATGAGAGATGAGATGTTTGTAGAGGTGAAAGGCAAAAGTAGCATAGATAAACAAAACTGGCTTGTATCACAGGCTATTTCAAAGCCAAATTAGCCTCTTTTCTAAGGAAATGTGAAACCACCTCTCTTTCATTTCACACTCCGCTTAAATCTCCCCTGCGATGCCAGTGTTTTCTGTATTTTGTTCATTTCCAGAAAGGATACCTTTTCATGTTAAACAATTTTTGTTGTAAGAGAAACAAAATGCATGAAAATACACAGTAGTTTGTCGGGACCGTTGCATTATTTCGTGTTAACCGATATTTGCCTTAAGCGTTAAACGTTAAACGTATTCCACTGTATACAGATGTGTTTGGACTATGTATATACAAATAATTTTTTAAAAGCAAAATTTATAATCCTTCCAAAACATTTTCGTGCATTCTGCTGCTAAAAATTGATCAGTAAATATATAAAGAAGAAATTTAGAACCAATTTTTCAGGAAGTATAAAAATTGAAAATTCAAATTAACTTGATAAAATCTGTAAATGTGAAGATCAAATAGTCTTTTTAGACTAGTAAAATCTTTTAAAAGAATTGGAAGATATTTTTCTTCCCTCCCCCATTTTCCTTTGCTACTGCGTTTGATGAGGTTCTAGTAAAGTTTTGTGTTAAGATTATTTTGAACTTTCAAAGATTTTCCACTGCAGGACTTTAATTTTTTCTACATTTTTAAGGGTATGTTTTCTTTCTTTCTTCTTCTTTTTTTTTTTTTTTTTTTTGGATAGAAAAATATTTTTAAATCGGAAGATATTTTCAATGATTTTCCTTTGCTTTGAGGAGGACTAGAATTTTTTGGTGAACCATTAAGATAAAAAATATATTGAAATGGTTCATCAGCTGATTCTGGATACAGAGAAGCAAGGATTTTGTTTTAAAAGGGGAAATGTAATTAAATTCGACATACCTCCTCTTGACGATATTATGTTAAAGTTGGTTGGATTCCTCACCTTTCTTGTTCTTTTATACTTCTCTTTTGTTTTTCTTGTGATGGTTTATTTTAACATGTTAACTGCTGTGGGGATCACCGGTGACCAGCACTCGATTTGGCTACAGCGTCCCAGGTGCCACCGGCAATGCGACCAATAGTAAAATACAAACTTAGAATAAATATTGATACTGATAAATTTTTAAATAGTACCATTGTTACTATAATGGTTTGAAGAATAATAAATCGTAAAAATTTAAATTATAAATCACAAAAATGATTTGTGTGTTATGCTTGATGATTTCCAAACAGCTCGAATCAAATTTCAAAGCAATTGCATACGCGCAGCTAAGATGTAGTTTTTTTTTACTATCTTAGTAGTGTCTTGCATGCAATTTGTAATTGTAATACGCATCATTTATAAACTATGTTTCTTATTTCTAATCAAATTTGTTGTCAAGTAAGCACTTAACATTTCCTAAGTATTGGAAAATTCAGTAGTGTCTA